TCTTTCTCTCTTCGGGATTTATTTCACTGATTCATTTTATCTCTATGTAAATTCATCATACAGAAATGGTGGATGGAGAAAAACCTCACTGTTTTGTCAGGCTTCATCCTCCTGGGTTTCTCTGATGCCCCAGAGCTACAAATACCCATCTTTACAATTTTCTTATCCCTGTACATTTTAGTGGTGCTAGGGAACCTGATGATGATCCTGCTAATCAACACTGACCCCCAGATCCACACCCCCAGGTATTTCTTCCTGACCCACTTATCTTTCATAGATTTTTGCCTTTCTTCCACTGTTGTCCCAAGGGCACTGGAGACCTTCCTGCTGGGGAGAAGCCACATCTCTCTTTTGGGTTGCTTTGCCCAGATTTATTTTTTCGTTGCTCTGATTGTCTGTGAGAGCTTCCTCCTGGGGGTGATGGCTTACGACCGGCACACGGCAGTGTGCAAGCCACTGTGTTACACCACCACCATGTTCAGGGTGTGTTGTTACAACATGATGGTGCTGGTGTACACCACAGGCTTCCTCACTGCCCTGGTGCATACCATCCTGGCGGGGAGGTTGCCCTTCTGCCGGGCCAGGAGCATCAACCACTTCTTCTGTGAGTTGCTCGCCTCTCCTGCTCTGATGCCCGCACAAATGAGACTTTGCAGGTTTCCAACTCTGGGCTTGACATTGTGGGCTCTGTCCTTATGATCCTGGTGGCACTTGCCTCTGGAGGAATCACTACTTAAATCAGTGCAACTTCTTAAGAAGCTAAGCTTAAGAGAGAAATTTCTTATGAGCTTATTTTTACCACCTCTGTTATGTCATGAAATACCACTGCTATTACATCATTCCACAGGAAAAAAAAACGCAAGAGATGACATGGAAATGTTTATTGGAAACCCGTAATGACAGGATGTTTGGTAACATTGAGTCTCAGCAGATTTTAAAGCATGCTTTGATTTTGCTGTACCTGCTTCTGTAAATATCTGTGGTTCCTTACTCCTTCTGCCAGCTGATATAAAAAGGGAAGCAATAGGGGTTTTATCAACTGATTGGGGTCAGTTCGATCAGCAGGCAACTCACAAAAATGTTCTTTGCCCCGGCTTTCCTGAGTGCATCCTTGACCTCCTTGTTCCTCAGGCTATAGATGAGCGAGTTGAGCATGGGGACGATCAGGGTGTAAAACACGGTGGTGACTTTCTCCATTTTCAGGGAGTACTTGGAGCCCGGCTGCATGTGGCTCAGCACCGCGGGCACGTAGAACAAGGTAACGGTCAGGTGGCTTTGTGTCTTCCTTTGGCTGACCTGATCTTCAGGATGGAGAAGAGGATGTATACGTAGGAGAGGAGGATGATGAAGAGCACAGACATGGAAATGGTCCCATTGAAGGTTACAAGCAAAAGCTTACTGAGGTGGTCGTCAGAGCAGGTGAGTTTCAGCAGAGGGTTAGTGTCGCAGAAGTGATGGTTGATGATGTTGGGTCCACAAAAAGGCAAAGGCAGCAAGCAGCACGTTTGGATGAGCGAGTTCAAAATCCCCCCTATGTAAGACCCAGCTGCCAGCTGAATGCAAACCCTCTTGGACATAGAAATAGCACAGAGCAGCAGGTTGCACATGGCTACGTAGCGGTCGTATGCCATCGCAGCCAGCAAGAACACCTCTGTGGTTACAAACACCAGGAAAAAGAAATGCTGGGCAAAGCAGGTGGAGTAAGAAATGGTTTTCTTCTCCACCAAGAAGCCAGTAAGCACCTTTGGAGAAAAGACAGAGGAGCAGCAAAAATCAACAATGGAGAGATTGCAGAGGAAGAAGTACATGAGAGTGTGCAGCTGGGAGTTCGTCTTGATCAATGTGATCAGCCCAAGATTGCCCATCAGGGTAATGAGATAAATAATTAGGGAGATTATGAAGAGAGGAGCCTGCAGCTTTGGCTTCTGCATTTCTGTCTATAACCTTGGTCAGGTCTCAGCACAGAGGGAAATATTCCCCCTGTAGTGTTGCAAATCATAATGAAACAAGTTTTTCATTACACTTTAGTTTTTTATCTGCTCCAGCTTAATATTATTTACATGTTTTTCTCCATTCAGTTATTACTTGCATGTTTTCCTCCATTCAAGGTGGGGAAGGAAGGCATTTTCAGGCTGCTTCTCACAATTGTGAAACTAAGAAATGACTTCTACCTAACATACTATATATTTAATAGAAAGCTGTTAGCTGTATTCATGGGAAGACAGGAGGTGAGGAGAGGAATAAAAAAAATCACTTATCAGAAAGCTCCAGCTCCATATAGCAGAAAGAAAACCGGTGCCTACATTTTCAAACCACGCAACACCTTGCACACAAGATTTTTTCTAATCAAGCCACTCTAGTGCCAATTACTCATTGTTTCTAGCAGAGAAGAGCAGATGTTAGGAATCCTTCATGCGTCTGAAAGATTTGCTTCTGGTATAAATAGTGGTACAGGTATTAATTAACGATGATATCAGGGTGATACACAGCAGCGGACACTTTTTCAGAACAGAAAATG